CTTCCTGCTCCAATCTCCTTTTCTTCTCCTTCATTTGACAGTCTTCTTTTTCTTCTGACACTGTCTTCTATATTTGGCTCCTTCTACTCCTTTACCTTTCTGCTTATTTTGCACCCTTCTGCTCCTTTCTCATTCTGATTCCTTTCTGCTCCTTGCAGACCCTTTCTGCTCCTTCTCCTACTTTAGCTTTGTGCTCCTTGCTGTCCCTTTCTGCTCCTTGCTACCCTTTTCTGCTCCTTCTCCTTCTGTCCCTTTCTGCTCCTTGCAGACCCTTCCTGCCCCTTGCTGCCCCTGCTCCTTGCATACCCTTCCTGCTCCTTGCTGCCCCTGTTCCTTGCAGATCCTTCCTGCTCCTTGCTTCCCCTGCTCCTTGCAGACCCTTCCTGCTCCTTGCTGACTCTTCATTTAGGCTGCCCCCCCACCTCTCATGCCTCACTTCCCTAATCTATAAACTGCCCCCATGCCTCACTTGCCTAATCTATAAGCTGACCCCCATGCCTCACTTGCCTAATCTATAAGATGCCCCCCATGCCTCACTTGCCTAATCTATAGGCTGCCCCCATGCCTCACTTGCCTAATCTATAGGCTGCCCCCCCATGCCTCACTTCCCTAATCTATAGGCCTAATCTATAGGCTACCCCCCCATGCCTCAACCCCCTAATCTATAGGCTGCCTGCCATGCCTCACCCCCCATGCCTCACTTGCCTAATTTAGTTGCACTGTGAAGAACCTTTTAATAAGTGAGTTCCATAAACATTAAACTTTATTTGGTGTACATTTTGACATCTTGTAAGCTTCTGTGGAACCAGCATTAATCTTCATGTGGGCTTGGTTATGACTGTGCTGTATTACAGGGCAACTACAACATTAAAAAAATGTTTTGTTGATTTTCTAAGTTAACTTGCTATGAATAAACTCTACATATTGTAATATACAGTTACTATCTATTTGATAAATTTAACTGACTGAAAACCCCCCAAAACAAAACAATAAATGTGCAAAAGTTGGAGATCCCTGTCATTCAGTAGTTGGTAACACCGGTTTTGGCTGAAATCACAGCCTCAAATTGCCCATTATAGCAACCTAATAGCTTTCCATTATTGCTTTATGTATTTTCCCCACTCTTCCTTATGGGAAACTTGAAATTTATAAATATCCAGGTCTGGGAACTGGAATTTTAAAACCTTTTTTTCTCATTTCTTGAAGTAGTTCATAATTGACTTCGAGGTGTGTTTTAGATCAATCTCTTTTTGGAAAATTCAACTCATTGTCAGTTTCATCATTAATTATGGGACATCAGCTTTCAGGATTATTTGATATTTCTCTACCTTAACAATATGTCCTGTGCTACGAACAGCCTCACCTAAAACCCAAAGCATAATAGATCTACTCATGCTCAGTTGACGAGATGTTATTTTCTTCAAATGTTTTTTGCTAATAGCATACATTTCATCACAGGCATTACTGAACGAAAGTCAGGAAACATTATTGATTATTACTGATGCGGGATTTTAATATAGCCCAGAAAGTTGTAATGCAATACACTTATGAATGTGAGTTTAAAAAGTGTCTTATAATGAAATACTGATAATGTATTACAAATATAAAAGTATAAAAAAACTCTATATACAAATATTAATATTTATTTTAAACTTGATTTTAAAAAATGCATTCTCAAACTTTTCTGCGTAGTACCCAATAAAATACCTTATTATATTGATGTAAATTACATTCCAACTAATTTGTCTCACACTATAATGTTAGACACTGTAATCGTTTATCTTACCTAGTGCTTATGGTTTTTTGGCATTTAATGAATCCTTTTAATCGACCAACTTAACTTTTAAGTTCAAGACCTCAGATCTTCAGCAGATGTGCAGCCATGTAAAAGAAACTAAGCATATGCTTCTAAGCTGTTATTTTTTAATTGGTGATAAACAGTGCAAGATTCTCCGAGTGGTATATATCACACTTGGGAACATAGTCTTCCTTGCTTGAACTTTTGCAACACTGCTCATAAAGAAAGTCGTGCTGTCTGAAAGACCATATATTGACTTGTCTACGGGAGAAAATTACAATGTTAAGACATAGCAATGATGTAGTGATAACAGTGTTAAGCAGGTAACTGTGCTATGAGACTATGCATTTATCTCAGAACCATACTTAGCTCATAAACAGAATGAATCCTGCTTCTAAACGCCTCAAAGGAGGTGAAGTGTGTATGATAGAAGGAAACGCCTTTCAAAAAGACAGGTCTTTAGTTTCTGTCTGAAGCAGAGAAAAAGTTATCAGTAATATCATTGATTTTGTTTACTAATATAAACTTACATAGTGCATTTACTTGGACTTAAAGCTCTTACTGGTTTATCAAATCATTAGCTTTGTACCAGATCTCTATTAAAGAAATTTATATATAAATTGTAGTTTGTAGCCTAATGTATGATGCCAGATTAAGGGTACAACAATATATATTTTTTTCCCTGTGAAACTGTTCCTGATCTTAAATTACAATATGCAACAAGAACAAAACACATCATCTCATATTGTCAAGGTCCCCAAACATACTGCAGCCAGAAATTGTTTTTTAATGCTGATTGTAAAGGTTTTGCTTAGACAGAACCTGGGACTAGGCAAGGCAGAGCCCACTGCATGTCAAAGACTTGTCAAGGCAGGACAATTATATCAAAATATGGAGGGAGAAAAACAACATTGAATACTGTATGGTTAGTCATTTAAAAGATATACATGGCATATTTATTTCAAATAATTAATTAAAAAGTAAAAAAAACAACAACAAAAAACAAGTATGTCGGTGACTACTAAACAGTGCAAAAAATCAGGATGCAGAAAACAATTCATAAAAAATATAATTTATCTGCTAAATATTGCTTTTGCCAAGAAGTCCTGTGACCAGCATTATAGCAAAAACTATAGTGAAATGCCGCTTCTGTATAGAATTGTATCCAGAGCCTTTGTAACTGTACAAAGATAAACGAAGCAGCAAAGCTGCATTCAACAACCACATGGCCACTGGCTGATGGTAAGTATGCAAACTGAGATGCTTAGTGCTCCCAGCAGTAACAAGTATTCAAAAGGACTCGGCAATAATCGTTGTGCAGTATTGTATAATAAATACCAATTGTTAGGATTGTATTAAAAGTACACAGCTGAAGTACACAGGTAGTCGCAAAACATAATTTTCTCAACTTTCTCAAGACCTTTGTCAAGGCAGGATCAACATTATGTCAAGGGAATATTAAGAAGGAAGCATCAATGCTTATGTCAAGGATATGGCAAGACTGGTTTCTGGAAAGGCAGGACTTTGCAAAATTTGAACTAAATAACAGTGAGACCAGGGCAGTGTTGAACAAGGGTATCAGCAGTGCAGAATGAGGAACACAGCAGAAACTGGGCAGGACTGGACCAGGAACATGGCAGTACATGGCAACACTGAACATGGAACACTGGAAGAACTTAGCGGTGCAAAGCATAAACTCTGTAAGAACTTGGCTGTACTGGATTAGAAACACATGAAGGACTTGACAGCATTGGACCAGACACTTGTTAGGGATTTGGTATTGAAGCAGTAAGCATGTAAAAGAAAAATTGGCGACTGACATTGAGAAAGAATAGACATTCTGCTGAAAAGCAAAACTGGGTGCACTAGGAGCGAAGACCTCCTGCATAAGCCGAGATAAGATAAATTCTTGGACATGGAGTGAGTACCTTTACTATAAAATCATATACTGTATGTAGATAGAGATACTGTTAGATGTATGGCAATATGCAGTGTAAATTGGCACAACCGAAAACTTAGTAAACTAGTAACTAGAATTCCATTCAAGAACATGTATGGAAATTACATGCCACCAAACAGTGCTGGAATTGTAGCCTTGTAGATCACAAACACAATATGTTTAGGGAGCACCACATGATACATTTATAAGTGAAGCCCAATCTTCATGGATTTACAACATTAATTTACAGGTGTGGCCATTGAGGTCCATATTGGACAGCCATGGTTTGCTCAAATTGTGTAACAAATTAATTTTTTTATAAATCTATAAAACAATATAAACCATTTTAATGTCAATCGGCCAATGCTGAAAACCATAACAAATATGCTATAATAATAACAAATATAAATTTCTTGTATAATACACAGTTATAATAGGGTTTTAAGTCTGAAAGTTTCTATTGATAATACTGAAACCATAAGTTAAATAAAGCTATTTTACTGAATATCTTAGCACACCCTTTTCTCGGTGGTTGCAAACAGCAATGCCCACACCGCACTCCAAATATTTCTGAACTAAATCCCCAGTAATATTCAGTAAAGACTTTAAGTTGGCTTGACATCATTGAAAACGTAGCTGACAAACTTCTCCACTGCCAAGGTGACCTTCTGTAGTGACAGAACATAGAGAATGTATTAAACTAGTCAAAGAAGATATGTTGTAACGTTCAATCATACAGATCTTTTAACTATTGTTTAAAACTGGTATCTCTGTTTATTCTTACTTTATAACTCTAAGCTTCCTTTTTATGCTATCTGACTTCTGGATTCAAATTGTGACAAGTTCATTTTTGCACAGTATTGTAAGGTTTCTAAATCAATATGCTTCCTATTGCCATTACTGAACAGTTTGGGGCTTTGCGGCTAGCTAGCATGACAATAGATGCACAGCCTGGAACAAGGTTTAGTTAATTAGAGTCAATCAATCCAAACTTTGCTAAATTATTCATGTGAAACAATAGTATAATGAACTAAACTCTGCAAGATGATTGGGAAATAGAAATTATCACACCCTGATAAATTAAATGTGACTATTTGAGAGTAAACCCATTCTGCTAAACAATTACCTAGAGAGTAGAAGGGAAAAGGTGAATAAGCATTACATAGTAAATATAACAAACAAACACTGCTGTCATAGCTAGTTTTACAGAGAGGGCTTATCTTAATAAGAAATGAATTGTCCATATTCACTAACAAGAATACAGCACTGCTCTGCAATGACAGCTTGTCACCCATTTACTTAGAAAAACATTGTCCAGCTCTCTTCTCAAGGGCTCTTATCCTGACAGACATTTCATATATTTCCAATTAGCAATCAGTTATTTTTAGGTACATTTTATTATCTGTCTGTCTGTCTACCTAGTTCTCTATCTACACACATACAGACAAAGATAGACAGACAGACACAGATGGATGGATAGACAGACACAAACATGCACACAGGCAACATTTTTAGAAAAGACCCTACATGGTGTTCCATTAGAGATTTATATTGCTGGATGGATACCATATAGTCATGAGGGTTTACATGGTCAGCCATAGAGTTCATTTGAACAGCAGCAAACATGGTTTGACAGGTGTCACGGTCTAACATGTACCATAATAACACTATACATGGGATCACAACACATGACATTATAGACATTGTCATTGGTTCATAACCTTTTTGGACTGGTACCCAAAATATGTACATGGAAATATCTTGTTGATCCATTCTTAAATTTCAGAATCTCCTCAGTGACCCATTATTCAACTCCATGCTAAATTATTTAATATACAGCAAAACATATTCATGAAAGTTTTCTCAGAAGGGTCAGGAGCCTCCTGGAAGATTTACGCAGCATTATCACAGCTGACGTAGGCTAATTCCGAGAAGAGACAAATGGGGTCTTTGAAAGACTCTACAACACAGAGCTCACCAACATGAACAACTCCACAAACAGGATAGAAGAAAATGGAGGAATGTGCAGGTTCGGGACATACCAGATATTGCGGATAATGCTGAACTTCCTCACCTATTCAGGTGGCTGCTTACTTATCTATTTCCCATGAAACAAGCAAAGTTAATGAGCTTGGAAGGTTGCTGTTGTATCTCCAAGTCACATACTGCATCTGCAACAGTGAGCAACAATCATGTAGTTTGTTTTCAGCACCGTAAGGGTAGGAATTACTTAATGAATGATATATGCAATTCCCCCATTTAAGTTTGAGTACTGCTCCCTTACACTCTTTCTGGACCTCTACAGTGCCATCCTATAATGGTGACCCAGGAACTCATTGCACACATATGGCCCTATACATTGGGTGCCTCGAGATGCTTGGTGATTTGGTACATTGGAAGTTCAAAAGGCTTCATAAATAGTCTCTATACACGATGCTTGGGCTGGCTCCTGCCAAAAGTGCCCCACAACTGGCTGTGCGCTCCCTGTAACATTCACGAAAAGCACCAGATAAACAGTTGTAATCAAAATTATGCAACCACCATTGAAAATCTGATTTATTGTCAAAAGATACAGACTTTCAACAAATAAAACAAAAGCAATTAAAATAGCTCAACACAAGGTATGCTTCAAGTGGTTTCCCCAAATTCAACTTTGTACTTAGTACTTTGTAGAGTACCATTTTGCTTTTATGACCTGCTACAAATGAGATGCATAGCCAGACACCATTGAGGAATCTTAGTGCATTGCTCATGAGCAATGTATTTCAGTTCAGTAATATTCTTGGGTCCTCTTGCTGCAACAACCTACTTCGAATCCCATCATAGATTTTCTATGGGTTTCAAGTCAGGTGACTGTGATTCCCACTGTACAATTTTCCAGGACATCTTCTGCAACAAAGCCTTGGTCTAATTTGAGGTATGCTTATTGGAAGATCCAATAATGCACAAGCTTCTGCTTCCTTACAAACAGCATTATGTTTTCTCTTAGGACTTCGTAATACTTAAATGAATCCATGTTGCCTTCCACATGCTGCAGGTTTACAGTTCCAGAGGATACAAAGCAGCCCCAGAGCATCACTGAATCATCACCATGCTTAGCTGTAGGCAGTGTTCTTTATAGCATATGCTTCATTCTTCTTCCTCCAGACATACCACTAATCCATTGGGCCAAAAAAGTTCCAGTTTTGTTTCAACGCTCCATAGAGCAGAATGCCAAAAATTCTGTGGCTTATTTATATGATTTTGAGCCAATTGGAGATTACTTTTCTTGTGCCTTTAGGTCAGTAGTGGTGTACATCTTGGAGTTCTGGCATTGACCTTCTACGTTTAGTACATGCCTTACTGTACTCACTGAAACCTCAGTGCCTGTTGCGACCAAATCTTGCTGCAGGTCTTTTGCACTCACTTGAGGGTTTTTCACAACCTGCCTTCTCAGAAACCTGGTTGCGGCCATTGATAGCTTCCTTTTTCTGCCCCATCCAGGTAGTGTAACTGCTGTTCCTTCAACTTTGAACTTGCAAACTGTGCTTCCAACAGTGTGTCTAGGAATATTCAGTACCTTTCCTACTTTTTACATCCAGTTCTTTGTTAGTGAAAGGCAATGATCTCTTCTCTTAACTTTATGGACCATTCTCTACTTAGCCATATTTCTAACATGCAGTCAAACGTGACACTCAACAAACCCCTAGCCAGTTCAGGTATTTCAAGTTTTACATTCAAGCACACCTGAGGCAACCAATGAAGCCCTTAATAAGTTTCATCAGGTGTGCTTGTGATAACACCTGCTTTGCATATTTGTGCTGTTGTGATGGATTCTATTCAGGGATGTAACAAACCACCTCTTTTACCGGTAGGATTGTCAGATCTTGCAGTAACCACAGCCTTCTAGGGTATACAAAGTCCAGGACACATTCAGCTCAGTTTTCCTTTTTATTTGATAAAAAGCAGGTGCTTTAAATAATAACAAACAAACAAAATCCCTTGCTCTTACTTGAGCTCTTACTAGACAGAAATTACTATCTGTAATTGGGTGGCTTTCCCACTTACCAATTTTCCAAAAAAAAGAAATGGCTTTGCAATAAACACAAGTGTTGTTCGCTCTTCTAGCTGGCTTTTTCTCCCTCACTCTGCAGCAGGCTGATCTCTTCTTTTAAAAGCCTGTCTGCTAATTGACTTGCTACAGGTGAGTGCCAATTAGTAAACCCTTGTCAGATCCATATTGTGGTCTCTTACACAGCAACTTGTGCTGTTGGAGCATTGGCCCACCCTGCTCTCCAAATACTCCGCCCCAGGGACCCATACCATGTTTTGCAGAACATCAGCAATGTAGATTGCAAACTTTAACATCTCTCCCTGGGGCATTAAACTGAAAATTCTCAGGTTGCTGTTTAGCAAATCAGGCCTGATGTATCTTCCATCAACCACAATTCCACTTTTACGCTCACAGGGGGTTGAATAGGTTTGAGACTGGAGAAGTCATTATAAGTTGCAATTTCAGTTAAACTTGGGGAAACCACTTGAAACATTCTTTGTGTTGAGCTATTTCAATTGCTTTTGTTTGATTTGTTCATTGCAAACAGCTGAAAGTCTGTAACTTGTGACAATAACATTTTTAATGGGGGTTGAATACTTTTGATTACAACTGTATGTGTATACTGTGCAGTATGGATTGTTGTTGCTCCAACATACCGTGTTTCCCCGAAAATAAACCCTACCCCGAAAATAAGCCCTAGTCGGATTTTCGGGGTGGGCTGCAATATAAGCCCTACCCCGAAAATAAGACCTAGGCATTGTACCTTTGCGGCGAGACTTCCTTCTTCTGCTGTAGGAGGAGCGTCGCGCAACGTGATGACGACATTTTGCAGCGCCGTCAGTCTGCCTTCACGGATCTTCAGCGGAAGGATCCATTTCCGGGCGGTGAGGCTCCCAGTGGTCGGACTCGGCAAGGAATCTTTGAAATGTGAGTACCGCTAGATATTTTATGTCTGGGATTAATTGAATTAATTAAAGGGGGTGGGGGGGTGAATTAATTAAAGGGTGGGCTGGATTAATTAGAGGGGGGTGAATTAATTAAAGGGTGGGCTGGATTAATTAGAGGGGGTGAATTAATTAAAGGGGTGACTGGATTAATTAGAGGGTGGGCTGGATTAATTAAAGGGGTGGTGAATTAATTAAAGGGTGGGCTGGATTAATTAGAGGGGGGTGAATTAATTAAAGGGGTGGTGAATTAATTAAAGGGTGGGCTGGATTAATTAGAGGGGGTGAATTAATTAAAGGGGTGGGTGGTGAATTAATTAAAGGGTGGGCTGGATTAATTAAAGGGGGGTGAATTAATTAAAGGGGGGTGAATTAATTAAAGGGTGGACTGGATTAATTAGAGGGGGTGAATTAATTAAAGGGGTGGTGAATTAATTAAAGGGGTGGTGAATTAATTAAAGGGTGGGCTGGATTAATTA